AAATAATTTATTAATATATTTATATCGATTTTAAATATAGCAAGTCGGTCAATTCTTTTGATTCAAAACTTCAAAATGTAACGACCTTAAGCGATTACTTAAAAGAACTCACGAAAGCGCGAAAGTTCATATAAGAGCTCAAGAGAATCTTAAAGTAATGATTTAAAATCAACAATTACCGAGTATAAAAGTCGAAAGTAGCTGAGGTCTATATATACGAAAGTAAAAGCGCTAAAGATTCGTAAACTATAGTTTATAAGTCAAAAGCGGGGAATAAAAGAATACGAAGAATACGAAAGAAAAAATAAAAGAAGTAGCTTAACGCATGTAAAGTACGTCTAAAAGACCTAGCGTATCGTTATATAAGAAACCGACGATTAATAAATATAATTAATAAATATAATTAGTAAATATGATTAATAAATATGATTAATAAATATAATTAGTAAATATAATTAATAAATATGATTAGTAAATATAATTAATAAATATGATTAGTAAATATAATAAGTAAATATAATTAATAAGTATTATTAATAAATATAATTAATGAATAAGATAAATAGAAGTATTTTTATAAAATATAAAATTTGTAATTAATCGTGAATTCTATTCTATATAAACTTAAGCATTGAGTTTAAGAATGATTTTAATTCCGTATCGCTATCTTTAACGGCGTAAAACAACTCCGGAGCTAGCTCGTCTTTTTTCTAAATCAATTGTATAACGCGTTAAAATAAAATAAAATCGCAATCAGCTTTTTCAAATTCAGCATTCTTTTCGAATCCTTTTATATTTTATTAAGCGGCTAGACCCGGCAATTCGTATTCAATCTCATCGGTATTTGCTTTAATTTTAGCTCGCTAATACTTCTTTTTATTAAAGGAAAAGTAAACGTAAAGAAGCTTGATTAAATGAAGACTAAAAGTTATAATATTAGTTCAGTTGATTAAAAGCATAATAAAATGAATTCTTATTTAATTCGTTTTAAAACCGTGCTTGCTAAGTCTTAAGCTATCAATTCAAAGAAAGCTTTTTTACTTTTTAAATTAGCAGCTCGGCACTTCTTTATCAAAGACCGCGCTACACTTTGCTAATAGCGACGAAATTGCTAAACGGTTATTATATAGCGTGACTTTATATTATTAGCAAAATATAAATATTTAAATAAAATAAATGCTTACTTATGCGTATTAACGTGCTAATTGCCGAGTGACTTTTTTTATCTTTTTATCGGTAATCGAGACGTATTTATCGCAAAGTATATTATTATTTTCTTTTTCGTCTTTTCGCAAATTAAATTCTTTATAAACCTCTTCGTTTAAATTGAATGCTTCATCAACTTAATCGCTATTCAAGTATTTTCTATCATTAAATCTAATTATAAAAGAAGCGGCTTACATAATAAGATTATCCGCGTAAATGCTTCGATTCTTTTTAAAATCGATTAATAAATTGCTTAGTAAATTAAAGAAAAGAAAAAGTACCGTTCATCTATAAGATTCTTTCGTATTTCGGCTTATCGAGTTTTCCTTTTAGCTTTTAATGCTTAAGAATATTCTAAGGTTTGTTTCTAAATTATAAAAAGCTAATTAACGGCCGCTTGATTTCGTCTTTTAGCTTTTCGAAGCTTATCTGCTTAAAGATCTTATTTCAGCTTTGCTATACGAGCATTAGCTTTTATCGTATAAAGATTAGTTGATAATTAGCTTCTTTTTAGCTTTTTTCTTTAAGAAAAATTAATAAATTAATAAAAGTTAAAATACTACGTAAAAAAGATACTTACTTTGCGCTTGCCAAGGTTTCTTAGTACCGGATTGCTTGCCGCTACGATTGCCGTCGTATCGGCCGCATTTTAAAAAAGACGTTTTTGATTAATAAATAAATTAATAAATAAGAAAATGATTTTTATTATAGATTTTTTAATCTTTTCTATCAAATCAAGCTGATTTGTATTTGCAATGATACCTTTTATCGAATCAAGCTGATAAGCGGCTATATTGAATAGTATTATAAAGAAGCCAAACGTTAAAAGTAATTGTTTAAAGTAAAATCAAAAGTAATAAAATAAAAGTATTAAAATTAAAAGTGAACTCGTACATTTTATTTCTAAAACATCTTAGCGCGGCCGCTAGTGAATTCACGAAGTGATAAAGCAGCCGCAGCTAAGATAAAGCGGCCGCTCTGCGCAATTTTTATTTTATAAAGTAAAGTCTGATTCCTTTCTCTTATTACTTAGTAATCAATTACAACTATTGTTGGATCGCCGGTAGCGATCTCTCGTAATAATTCGTAAAAGTCGTGACGTCGTCAAAGTACTTGCAATTGCAAAACACTCGGTGGTAAAATACTCAATTCTTGCTTGTTTTTCTGGTTCTAAGAGAGCTGACTCCTTTTATATAATAAAAAGGAGTCACGTATACTAGCTAAATACTAGGTTTACAAGCAGGTTGGGGGGCCCCTTGACCTGTGACAGGCTAAGCGAGGCATGCTTAGTGGCCCGTGAACCTTGGTTCACGAGTGAGCTCCTCCCAACTACTATTTAATAGCTAAGGTCGATATAAATATACCGACACCGGCAAAACTTTCTTTGGCAAACAGTGCTTTGCTAACTATTATATCGACCGAAAAGAGGAAGGTAATAAATAAAGAATAATTAAAAAAAATTCAAACGCAAGGAACAAAGAAAATTTCTTCTTGAAACAGGCCCCCTTTCTTCTAAAAAACCCGTCACCTTGCGAAGTGTTCACAGTGCTCTCTTCCGTATTGGCAGCCTTGAATAAAACACTCGTACTCGTCTTTAAGGTCTTCGGAATCAGTGCGCTGAAGGGAGGTTTAAGAGGAGTGCTGAAAAGAGTGCTGAGGAGAGTGCTGAGAGGAGTGCTGAGAAGAGTGCTGAGAGGAGTGCTGAGAGGAATGCTGAGCAAATGGCTCGCTAAAGCTCGCGTAAGCTCTGCTTGCTTTGGCGGGAGGTCGTAAGCTCTTAGTTGCAAACGCAATTGCTCGGCGAATATCAGCAATTGCGGCGGTAGAGGTAGAGGCGGGGTTCATCCGAGCTATAATCGTCTTTAGCACGTTTTTACAAGCTGAATATAGCTTGTCAACGAGACTCTTATCATCCTTCAGACTTGGCCGAAGAGCTCTTTGCACTGCTTTCAGCTCTTTTTCGAGCTTTTCAAAGCATTTAGCTAACGAATTGGCTGGATTTTCCTTCCGAATCAGCTTTAAAGAAAGCTCTTCTTACCGATCGTATTTAGCTTAGCGTCGGTGTTCAGTCTTAAAGTAATCCTTGACTGCTATAGCGTTCTCCTTGAAAGTAAGAAGTTTAGCTTTGATTACGTAGTTGTAATAAAACTTAATTGCTTCTTCGGCGAGCATAATCGGGAAAGCAGCTAAGTAATCATCGGTTGTCAACCCGTATCGGCACGCGTGATCGGCAAAAATCTTGAGCCGAGTATTAAAATCGTTTTTCGGCTTTGAATATTTCAATTCCTTAGGAAAACTCCTTGCAAGTAGAGCCAATTCCTTCGCTTTCGGGTGTGGGTCTGCCGTTTCGAGCTCAAGAAAATCGTCGTCGTTAAGGGCTCTCGGGGTGCCGTAGGTGTGCCTAGCTATTACTCGGGTCGAAAAAGGAGTGCTGGTAAAGGGTCGGTTTGGCCCAGGTTCGCCGGGGGGCTCGTATTTTCGTCCAAGGTCTCGTCCAAGGTCCTTTGGCGGCTCATTTCCTTGTCCCTTTGTCGGGCTACCGTGTCCTCTTCCTCTTCTTCCGTGCCTATTCTACTCGCTTCCCTTTCTATTCCCTTCTTCTAGATCACTGTTCGAGCTATCTGGATCGCTAAGGTCGCTAGCAAGAGCTTGCTCTCTTTTTTAATCGTATCCTTGGGCTCGGCCTTGGCGGTATCTATTGCCTTGGTCCTCTTCTTTCCGACTTTCTTCCTTGAGATTATACCCTCGGTAGGTTTGATCTCTGCTCTGGGCTTTAACATTAAGAGGCTCGTCGTTATACTCGTTGTACTCCTTTGCGTATTCTTTCGGTGACAAAATCGCTAGCTGAAGTAACAAAGGGACGGGAGAAGGGAATGAATCGCGAGAACTTCGCTTTAATAACGATTGCCTTGCTGCTTTGAGCTCCTCCTTATGCTTTGTAGCCTCTTCGATTCTCTCTTTACGCTGTTGCGCGTCTTTCGTAATCGTCAAATTGCGTAGATCATCGAAGTCACGAGCAATAGCGTTATTTCGGCGCTAGAGTTCCTCGTTCCGTAGTATTTGCCTTTGAAGTTCCTCGTTTTCCTCTTCTCGGAGTGATTAGCGAAGCGAATTCGAAGTTGTAAGTGGAAGTGAATTCGAAAGTAAAGGTTCGTCGATGATTTTAATAAGACGAATAAGACCTGATTGATTAAGAAACCTCTCGACTTGCTTCCTTTGAATTTTAGCGACCTCTTCAGTTTGTCGATTTAAGCGGGCGATTGTAATATCGTTCCACTTAGAATCAAATCCCTCGATTGATTGCTTTCGCTGTTCTTCTTAGGTCCATTGGTGCTCCTTTTCTATTTGAACGATTAAGGCTAGTCCATTAGCGTAGCCTTTTTGCCTTAGGAGGCACCAAACTCCCTTAGACATTAAGTGATCCTTTAATCTAATAAGCAAGGTAAACTTGCTTCTTCGGTGGCCGTAAGCTTGTTTAGCGGCTAACGAGAACTCGTCCGCGCTCTATTTAACAAACGCGTGTCGGAATAAAGACTAAAGCTCGTGGTCTTTTAAACCTTTACTTTTTATATCTAGGAAGTCTTCGATAATTAACCTTGCTCTTGTATGATTCTCTGGCCTTAGATACGGTAGTGAATCGAGGTTAAAACCGAGGTCCGACGTATCTTCGTTTATATCGTCGAAAGTAGTTTGAGTGCCTGGATTAAAAGGTTGTGCCGGTAATCTAAGAGGAAGATCCGCACGCGTCGTAGAGATTCGAGGTGCTTGAATCTCTATTGTTTAAGCTCTTGCTAATGTTCCAGAAGCTCTTTGTATATTCTCGCTGCTTCGGGGATCGATTGACTGCATGTTGCTTAATTGAGGTTCCTTTAGCGTCGAGTCGTAGTGTTGTGCTGTGTGTAGCTAGCGTGGCTCTACAGCGTTGATAAGTTGTATATAAGTGACTTGGTTCGGAATCACTCTTCCGTAGTAAATGAGGTATTCGAGGTGTAAGAAAGCGACTTGGTACGGAATCGCTCTTCCATGGAAAGGTGTAAAGGTATCGAAATGTAAGAAAGCGACTTGGTACGGAATCGCTCTTCCGTTATAAAAGGAGGGAAGTATCGTAATAAAAGGTAAGTGATTTTCATTGCGGTTGCAGGTTTCTTATAGCGCAAACTCACCACTTTTACACTCTTCGAATAAGTAGAAGTAAAGTCCTAACTCTTCGATCGATCTTAGCTTCTTTGTGATTGAGTAATGCTATTAGCGATTAAACAATCACTGATCAGTGTTGGATCGCCGGTAGCGATCTCTCGTAATAATTCGTAAAAGTCGTGACGTCGTTAAAGTACTTGCAATTGTAAAACACTCGGTGGTAAAATACTCAATTCTTGCTTGTTTTTCTGGTTCTAAGAGAGCTGACTCCTTTTATATAATAAGAAGGAGTCACGTATACTAGCTAAATACTAGGTTTACAAGCAGGTTGGGGGGCCCCTTGACCTGTGACAGGCTAAGCGAGGCATGCCTAGTGGCCCGTGAACCTTGGTTCACGAGTGAGCTCCCCCCAACTACTATTTACTAGCTAAGGTCGATATAAATATACCGACAACTATCGCTTTTTTATTTGCTACGGTTTTAAATACAACGCTATTCATTGCTTTATAAGGTCGTCCTTTTCTTGTTTAAAATTATCAACTTACTAATCGTAAACTAAATTATCGCGATTAAGTCCTTCTACTAATACTTTCAAATAGCCTTTCTATTAAACGAACCTTTGCTTTCGAACCGACTTCTTTTTATCGATATATTAAGCATTACGGTTAAAAAAGATAACGCAAGCTAAGATAAGTTAATTAATAAAGCAATTGAGAATCAAGCGATTAAAAGTTAAGCGGCTGAAAGTCAAGCGGCTAAAGGTCAAGCGGCTAAAGGTCAAGCGGCTAAAGGTCAAGCAGATAAAGACGAAGCATAAAAAAGTGAAGCAGATATAATACGCGGCGAAAGCGTAGAAAAAGAAAACTTAAATTTGCAAAGTGAATAAAGTAAGTTTATATTTAATTAATCGAAGTACTATTAATACTTTTTCAATTACTTTGCTTAGCGCAAATCCTTATTTTTAATCTAGTAAAGCTCAATTAGCTACGGATGCGCTAGACTTTACTTTTGCTAAGCGCTGCGCTACTACAACTCGACAGCTATCCGGTTAGTATTTGATTAGTAAATTGATTAGTAAATCAATTGCAAATAGCTAACAAGCATTTACAAAAATTCTTAACTCTACTTTTACTAAGCGCCGCGCTACTACAACTCGATAACTATTCGATTAATATTTGATTAGTAAATTGATTAATAAATCAATTGCAAATAACTAATAAGCATTTATAGAAATTCTTAAAACCTCGCGCGGTATTGCAAGTCTATAATAAAAAACCGATTTATCTTCGTCCTTTTCTCGCCGAATTTCTTAAAGTCAAGCTAATAAGTATTAATTACTTTATTAATTAATAATTATTAATTTCTATTATTTTAAGTAACGCTTTTTAAACACTAACAAACTCTCGCGCAAATACAGACTAGCACTTATCATCTTTTAGACTTCGATCCGGTAATATTTTTAATTTATAATTAATAAATATTTATTAATTAAATTTTTCTTTAGCAAACGTAATCAGATTTACTCCGGCTATTCAATCCGAAATAAACAAAAGCATCGTTCTTAATAATACTAGCATAAGTACTAACAGCTTTTAATAAGATTAATCTTTTTAAACTTTTTTCTTTCGTTCGCTAATTGTTTTAAAACTGCTTTAAAAGCAATATAACAATCGACGAGCCAAGCGAATGCATTAGCTTAGCTTTAAAACGAAGATCCGTTTTACGACTTAAGTGCTAAAAACAATTCTTTTGCAGCTGCTGAACTTTCTTCTACTTCTACTAGCAATCGTACTAAAAAAACTTTCGCGCAAAAAGCTCTTAAAAAGTCTTTTACTATCCCGGGCCTAATTATAGCTATAAAAACCGCGACGAAAACGATGCTTTATAATAATACAAATGAAAAAAAGCAAAGCGATAATAAAGAAAACTTAAGTGAAAATAATATTTCTCTTTCTTAATATAAAAAAGCTAAAAAATCACTTTCGACGGCTAAAGCTGCTCGCTCCGTTCTATCAGCTAGCAAATCACTTTCGGCAGCTAAAACTTCTTCTCGTTAAAAATCTAAAAAAAGCAAGTATCTTAAAAAGTCTATAATTGTTGCGAAAAAAAAAAGTTTAAATTAACGAAAGCGCCGTCGCTACAAGCTAAGAAGTAAGTTTAATTAATTAATAAATTAATTCTTAAGTACAATTACTGATTTATATAGCTACTACGTTAAAAGAGATCCGACGATACTAAAAAAGCATCGAGCTTTTTATCAAAAAGATTCTTTTCTAGCGTTTTATTCGAAAGATCACTTACGATTTTAAACAAGACTTTAAATTTCAAAGCGGTGCTTTAAAATGTTTACAAGAAGCTTTAAAAGCATTCTTCGTAAAAAAGTTTAAAAGTAAGTACTTATATATTTATTTACTAATCGATTTACTAATCGATTTACTAATCGATTTACTAATTACTTTTAGTAACGAACTTATGTGCTATTCACGTTAAACGAGTAACGATTCAAAACAAAGATATAGCGTTAGTTAAGAAATTGCGAGAAATCATAACTAAAAGTTTTGTTTAATAATTTTAGTTTATTATAATATAATACAATGTAATTGTAAAGTATAATATATATGATTAATAAATATAATAAATAAATATAATGATTAAGTAAAATTAATAAATATTCGTAAATTTGTTTTATTTTTAGCAGCCTTACATATATTATTTTTAGCTGTCCTACTTTAAACTTATAAGGTTTCCTTATCCTTCGTAAAGAATTTGACTTAAAAAAATCCTTTTTATAAGGTTTAAAAAAAAAGTCCTTTATCGGCCAAGACCTTATAAGGGGAATAGGGAGGAAAACCCCATGGGGCCCCCACCTCATGGAGCAGCCTAAAAAAAAATACTTACTTTGCGCTTATTAAAGTTTCTTAGCACCGGATTGCTTGCTGTTACGATTGCTGTCGTATCGGCCGCATTTTAAAAAAGACGTTTTTAATTAGTAAATAGATTAGTAAATAAGAAAATGATTTTTATTATAAATTTTTTAATCTTTTTTATTAAATTAAGCTGATTTGTATTTGCAATAATACTTTTTATCGAATCAAGCTGATAAGCGGCTATATTGAATAGTATTATAAGGAAGCTAAACGTTAAGAGTAATTGTTTGAAGTAAAATTAAAAGTAATAAAATAAAAGTATTAAGGTTAAAAGTGAACTCGTACATTTTATTTTTAAAACATCTTAGCGCGGCCGTTAGTGAATTTACAAAGTGATAAAGCAGCCGCAATTAAGATAAAGCGGCCGCAACTAAAATAAGACGGCCGCTTCGCGCAATTTTTACTTTATAAAGTAAAGTTTGATTTCTTTTTATTATTACTTAATAATTAATTATAATTATCGCTTTCTTATTTGCTACGCTTTTAAATACAACGCTATTTATTGCTTTATAAGGTCGTTTTTTTTTTCATTTAAAATTATCAACTTATTAATCGTAAATTAGATTATCGCGATCAGGTCTTTTTATTAATACTTTTAAATAGCTTCTTTATTAAACGTACCTTTGCTTTCGGACCGACTTTTTTTTACTAATATATTAAGCACTACGGCTAAAAGAGATGACGCAAGCTAAGATAAGTTAATTAATAAAGCAATTGAGAATCAAGCGATTAAAGGTTAAGCGGCTGAAAGTTAAGCGGTTAAAGGTTAAGCGGCTGAAGGTCAAGCGGCTAAGAGTCAAGCAAATAAGGACGAAGCATAAGAAAGTGAAGCAAATATAATACGCGGCGAAAGCGTAGAAAAAGAAAACTTAAATTTATAAAGTGAATAAAGTAAGTTTATATTTAATTAATCGGAATATTATTAATACTTTTTTAGTTATTTTGCTTAACGCAAATCTTTATCTTTAGTTTAGCAAAGCTTAATTAGCTACGGATGCGTTAGACTTTACTTTTGCTAAGCGCCGCGCTATTACAACTCGATAGCTATCCGGTTAGTATTTGATTAGTAAATTAATTAGTAAATCAATTGCAAATAGCTGATAAGCATTTATAGAAATTCTTAAAACCTCGCGCGGTATTGTAAGTCTATAATAAAGAACCGATTTATCTTCGTCCTTTTCTCGCCGAATTTCTTAAGGTTAAGCTAATAAGTATTAATTACTTTATTAATTAATAATTGTTAATTTTTATTATTTTAAGTAACGCTCTTTAAATACTAACAAACTCTCGCGCAAATATAGACTAGCACTTATCATCTCTTAGACTTCGATCCGATAATCTTTTTGACTT